TGACGAGACCAATCTCGCCATATTGCATTGGAGAAGCCGGGTTGCTTGCCTGTTGCCTTGGGATTATGGCCCCATGTTAAAAGGCTTGATTTTCCCCTGCAAAGACAAGAAAGCCGGGTCATTTGGTGCTTTCCCTGTTTGATCAGTGATACCCCAGATAGCTATGCCATGGAGCCCATTCGTATAATGAAAGACTTTGGCTCCATGGCAATTGAACTGTATGTGTGTGCTCTGAGCGCCATTCAGTAATAATGTGCGCTTAGACCTAAGCTATCTGGGCATATGTTGCATGTCTGTATTTTATGTCATAAATGTAACCTTGTGTATTTCATTGTATTTCACTGTCTTTTTGCTGCCATGTGCTCAGTGGAGTTTTGCCTCTGTCTTTGGAGATAATTGGATTACTTCTAATTATCTCCAGGATAGAAGACTCTGTGGAACTGGTTTTGGGCAGAAAAGCCATGCTTCCTGTGGTCACAAAGGACTACGATCTATCTTTTGAACCACTGGACCAATTTGTATGATTTTGACGTATGTTTGTATTTGGAGTATGCTGATTCTGAAAATGTGAATGTGATGCATACTTTTCAAGTTATTAATAATGTGGAAAAATTGTATTTCTCTGCTTGTGCTAAATTACATTACCCATTGTGTAAGGTAATTGAATCACATGCAGAGGGGAGGAATTTGTGTGGGAGTGTCTGAGTGTATTGTATGTGTTTATTGGTTGTGTTCCAAAATCCTGTGGGTGGTACTAATGTGTAAGAATGTGTACTTAAGCACAATAAACTCACAGCTCTGTCTGTTCACTGCTTGACCCTCAACACAGAGCTTTGTCCCGTTCTTGGGGGGATTTATTGTATGCTGTTCCAGTTTGACTGCTAGGAGTGTAAACCTATTCATATGGTTTTTCCTATTCGGCTGTTTACAGCATTCATATGGTTTCCTGTTCGGCTGATTGGTGTTCTGCAGTAGCTGTGCCTGTGTCTCTGGAAGGGAAGATCTACTAAACGGCGGTTTAACCCTTTTATGCCTGGGGGTGCCGTTACAAGAGGATATTACTATTTGGCCCCTCGGCCGTTTTAGTATGTTGAGGGATAGGACATCGTGGTCCTGTATCTTTGTAAGATGTTACCTTTCTATGTAGTCCTTGCAAGTTATTATAGTGAATTCCCTTGGTCTGAGAAACCCGTAGAATGCTAGATGGATGGCAGCTTTAGTTACGTGGTTAGTGTGAGGTTCGAAAGGTGCGTTGTCAAGGAGATCGGATAGTGATTGAAAGAGTTGACTATGTATAGTTAGTCCAGTAGGTGGAGGTCTATTAAATGAATTTGGTATGATGACCAGAACCTGAGTGTTTGGCCCAAATTGTGAGTATATGATGTTGTATAATTGATGGTGTTTAAGGAAAATTATGAGTTAAGGTGGCCAAAAGAAGTGAAAGCTACCCCTAGAAAATCAGTATATAATATAAATGCTACCAAAACCTGTTGAAATTGCGGAAGGCCCTAACGTACAATTGCTAAGCATTAACAGAAAGAGCCAGGTGTAAAAAGGTGTTGGCCGTGAAACGAAAGATTGTCTAGTCCATTGACAAGTCCCGTCACGTTGGTATAGGGGTAGGTAACAGTGCTGCAATCTAGAGCAAGATAGGTCATCAGTGACAATAATGTGAATGACTGGAATGTGGACACATAGCATGAAAATTATCGTTGGCAGCCAGCCACGTCAAATTACTTACAGAAGCGCATCATGGTCACAGATGCTGGTCGTCCAGCCCCTAACAGGTTTTTACTGCCCATGATGCGCTGCATGCTACCGCTTCTGTCACAACTGGGTAAAGCGCAAAACAAGGCTTAAATGGTAGTAAATCCTGGGATGTACTCAACACCATTTGGCCAATTGCCCCAGAACCACTGGTCACCAAATTGCGATGTACCCCGTCGCAGCAGCAGCATCTTGAGCAAATTGTGAGGGAATCGTATGACTAATGGATGAACTTACTTACCCATCCCGCCGTAAGAGGAATTCTTGCCACCCTCGTAAATTGGAGGGGATTGTAGCATATAGGAAGGATAATTCCACCAAAGGGATTAGGCCTTAAGGCTTGGTGGTGGTGTTGAGCGGAGAGCAGAAAGGTAGATAATCAACCTCTGTTTGAAGGACTGTTACCTGAGATCATCCCTGTTGGATTGGCAAGAAAAGAGGGGAACGGAAAGGCCCCAGTAGGAACCATGGTCCAGCTCTTGTGTAATAAGGGCGTCTATTGCTGTAGGATTAGTTACAGTTGTCTGCAAGTTTACCTTGCCATGCGAGATGGTATGAAGATAAAGCTGATGTCCTGACGCCCGCCAAGTGATTTTTTTCCCCGCCAGTCCACCAGCTTGTGTAGGTACAAATTGAACTCCTCTCGACAGAAGAATATACCGAAACACAACATCCCTAGAAATACCGCAACCTAGTAAAAGTCAGGTATAGCTGGGCATATGCTGGGTTAACAACCAATTGGGATTTAATGCCCCTTGGTAGATTATCCGTTGGGATGCTGAGGGGGAATATAGGTTCTTGAGTGGCTAGCCCCAGAGGTGAACCAAAAGAAAACAGTATACCGGTGCCAATAACAATGTGTAAACACAATGCGAATGCTATGACCAAATATAATATTAGTCAACTGGTGATTAAATGTAACATTGTCAGTAGTGCCCTGGTACGCTGTGATTCTCTAACCTTTAGGATATTCATAATGTGTTCCTCTAATGGAATATGCAACGCTCCTGTGGTCCCGTCCATATAAATTAAGACCACATGGGCACTGCATAACAAAGTACATTATTAGAATGACAAGTGATAAGGCCTCTAGAGGTGACCCAGGCCAGCTTCCAGCCTATCACTGATCTGTCCCAATGAGGATAGTACCCACTATAAAATGGCATGGATGTAGGATGCCCCCAGCTACTCCTACCGTACTGGCTGACTGACTAATGCCAAGTGGCGAAGAAATTAGCTAATTTTTTGGTGACCGGTGAGGCCCTGCTAATTACCAAGCGGCATGAGAGACTCTACCTATGCGTTGGCCCGAGGGGATTTTGTGGCCACGAACTATGTGGCAGGGTGTCGGCCTCTCAGTGATTTGTACAGCATAAGATAGAATGGGAGTGACAGGTGAGGCCCTCTCTATGCTACTATGCGAGGCAAATAGCTATGAGTTGGGCCGATGGGTATGAGGATGGGTGTTGGCCTCGCGGGACCACTATCGTAAGGCATAAAGGCCAGGGAAAACATTAGCTATTGGCCTCCTGAAACCTAGAAGCCAGTATCCACTTATCTATCTGGTCACCCGTGTTAAGTGGGTGCAGAGAGGGGTTGGGGGGGGTCTTAAATCGAACCACACACCTGAATTGTAACGATAGGTATGGAGTTATTCCTAAGTAGAATGTAGCTAGTATAAGTCTCAATTGGAATATGCAGAACCCATTGAAACTGACGAATCATCGTAGAAATATGTGAACGTAATAGGGTTTGAAAAAGCATAGTGAGAGCCAGATCGTGGAACCCCTCAGTATGAGACAATAATCTAAATTAGTTGTGTCAGAGAAGTGACTTGATAGTGGTTGAATCTTAAATTGAATCGCCACCTGTGATCCAATAGATACCTACAGTCTCCTAAAACAGTAACATAACCCCTAATGGCCTTGAACGTACAGAACCACCTAAACAGTTGTTGGTCAGAGGAGCTCTGCACTGAATCTTGAGTAACGCTCACAAGAACATAGAGGGGTAATTCACTGTTGGAGATAAATGAGAGGGCCAATAAAAATCAAGTAAAAGGAATCCACACCTGTGTTAAAAGGGGGCAGGAGATGCTCTAGACCATAGATGCAAAAATCTGTTGTATAAGCTATAGTCTCCTGTCTAACCGAAGGTGGTCAGTGCCTTGTAAGAGCATGTATGATGTAGGAAAATAGGACCGTGACAAAATAAACTGAACGTAAGGTAACGTTAGAATATGTAACGTATAGATGTGTGTGGGCCGGACTGTGGAGCCCGTAATTCCTAAAGTAACGTATTCGTGTGTGGGACCGATCGTGGACCCCAGTAATGTATGATAACCGACCCACGTTCTGTAGTGCAAGCTATAGGCAACCTATAAAATAGCATTGTGTCATAACATAAATGACACGCTCAACCCTGGAATTAAAACGTATGGAGTACAGAAAACATATAATACTTAAAACAGAATTAAACCGAGAAGTTTATGGACGTAAAATTCCGATGCAAATTGAAATACCATAAATCAGCCATTAAACCTTTATAATACAACACCATGTCCTGTCCTCGTTTGTAACCCAGAATATACATAGTAATTAGTAGGATGCTTTAAAGCGTACAGATTAAGTATAGCTCCCCAGCAGTGATTATAATGTATGCTATATTGATTCGTGCATAGTAGTATGTGTGATTAACGCAGTTCGTTGGATGTTTTAGTGTTTAAACATCGATTAGCATCTAACTGATCGCAATATATTTAGTACACATTAGTTTAGAGTAAACTAACTAAGTCTATATGACCCGGACAATAATAGGGCTAATGCCTATGTAATACTGAGAGTTACAACCCTCCCCCCCCAGCCAAAATCTACAGGAATGCATGAAAATACCATAACAGTCATCATATGGAAAACTCAATGTACCGTTCGGTTGCAGATACATGAACGGCTCCATGAAGCAATACTAATGTATGACCGAACGTACTGTAGCCAGACAATGCAAACATAAGTATAAACGAACATCTCTAGTACATATGTAAAACAATCGAACGAGAAACGTTCATGAGCATACTCCCAAAAGCCTACCGTTCGTGCAAATATGCAGAGACGTTGCCAAAAGCCCAGAATTAGAGTCTCATACATACGTAAGGAATTAATATGAAACTTTAGCCAAACTGCGGTGTTCGACAGACAATGGAGAACATGAACAGAGGTAAGAAACAGAGCCGACCCATGATGACGTTGTGCGTCGGCGATTGGGTTGCGACGGTCGGCTCTATGACTTACGGTTTCATCGCTTCCCGGGCATACTACGAGGAGCCTGAAGAAGGAACGGCCATCGGAGGGAGGCAGGAACCGGAGAGGTGGCACGATTACGGGAACAGGATGCCTGCTGGAGCGGCTGGAGAGCCGGAGAGTTTCCACATGGTGTAGGTGAGTAAGAAGGCGATTTGTTGCTGGCCGGAAGTCGTTGTATGCAAATCTCCAGAACCAATAACGATAATGAGGAAAGTTCTGGTGCTCCTTAAGAAAGGAATCCAAGCCCCTCCCACAACTACAGGCCCTGCCTGACATATATATATATATATTCTGATGGCAAATAATGTGCTGTATCATCAATTAAACATTAAGCTTATATCTATCGGTAATTTTCCTTTACATTAGGCATAATAAGTTTTGACTCTGAACTTGTTTTACATTTCAATGTAAATAATAAACTATTCGAATTTTTGAGAAATTGATGCAATTGATATTTTAGCACAGAATTATTATTATTATTTTTTTTATAAAACTGAAAAGCAAACAGTTCTGATTGCGGTTTCCAGTAAATGTATTAAAATAAGATTGCCAGACAACCATCTCTTTAATCATGGAAAAGTCCACGGTGCCCAGCTGTTATTATTCCAATAAAATCAAACAGAGTCATTTTGATATTCATGTAAGTATGTGTTCCGTACTTAACGTAACATCTGGTCACCTTGTGTAGAACATATGGAGAGGGGGAATGTCAAACTGGGACACGTTATGTATAATTACAGAATAGGGATTACCAACACAATTAACCATTTGATTTCAGACGATTCTGTTCAGTATGAAAATCAAACTTAAATTTGCTTTTACTTTTGCATGCAGATTGTTTGACTCAACACACACACCAAATTATATTATCAATGACAGCAAAATATGGAATAAATAATCTCTATTTCTAAGTTAACGATTAAAATAAATTTGGGAATAATTTGAGAATGCATTAGGGTGAACGCATATAAACATATTCTACTAAGGGATTAGTTGTGGCCTACTTGACAGATATGGAGGAACACCAGACCTGCATCTTATATTCAGAGCAGGTAATGGTTTCCAATAAAAATGACGGGCGAGTTTGCTATACACTGAACTTGATAAAAGTTTCTCTGCTCTGTCTTTTAATTTTAATGAGGACTCGCCTCTGCGTTCTTAATGTTCTTAGCATTGAACCTGAAGCTCACAATGGGATTGATTTACTAGCTAAACCAGTGAATGTCTTATGGTTTTGTTTGTTATAAAGATAGTGTAAGAATATACTTGAGGGTTTGAATGATAATTTACTTTTATTTATTTTTGTACCACAACTAAAGGCAAAATAATGTCCCTTTATTCCATGATTTAAGCAAGCATAGCAGCAGAAAAAATAAGTGGAGCAATGGGAGTTGTAGATCTTCAGAAAATAAATGGTCATCTCTAGTGTAGCAGACTTATTCTTCCAAAGAATTTAAATAAAGCAGTCCTTTATATCAGGTAAGTATTCCTTTCACTGAAGTGTGGGATAAAATAAGTTAAAAAGTAAGGTTAAAGTCCTCCCTCCTGTTTTGGAAATTAAATAAAAACACAATAAAGTAATGCAGTTCTTTTAGCTTGTACCTTTAAATCAGTCCAAATGAAAGAGTCAAATTGCAGAATGAAGCCAAACCAGGTCTGAAAGCCAGTGAATCTTGTCAAAATGAAGGAGTGAGTCAATTGCCAAGTAAAAACCTAGCCAGGTCAGTGAGCCAATGAATCTGTCTTGAAATGCCGGTTAATGCGAACAGGAAGTTTCAGGGGAAGATTCCGATTTAGCAGTTACTGAAAGACGAGAGTTTGTTCACACATGACCAGCATATGGACACAAATAATAGTGCGTTGAGACACTGACTCCTTATGTCTTTGTAGTAACGACCATCAGAAGCTCTTAAAGGAACAGCATTAAAACCATTAAATTCTCTTAAAGGTATATTTACCAAAAAGAAAAATTAAAACATAATTAAATCAGCAATTAAACAAATCATGGCAGGAGGCACCATTGTAGGAAGTTGTCCCATGTCCCATGCTATTTAAATAGTGTGTGGTTAGCGTGAGTACTAATGCCGAATTACAATGAGCCAGGACAAAATATTGCAGAAGCACAAAAGGGGTCCAAGAAGGTTGTGAACAGCAAAACATTGCCACTATCTGTGACCACAACTCTTGGCTCATTGTAATAAGCATGAGGTCCCCTATTTACCCTGAGAGAGCCATCTGTAACCAAGGCACAGAGGGTGCTGATTCCAAAACAAACAGAGAGTTCCAGGAATACCAAAGCAACCAGGAAGGATTTACTACATAGCTGTCTCTTGTCCAAAACCATTTGTACATTATGTGAGGAACAATAGGCTCCTTATTGTACGCCGTTGTTTCTCTGCCCCCCCCCCCCTCAACTCAATACCCTAATATACAATTTATTTTATGGATGATGAACACTAATGGAATTTCCGTCACTGGCATGATTGACTCTTGCTACAATGTTATTTATAAGGGAATTTACAAACCCTTAGTTTACCTTTACCTTATGTATAGTACACTCCTTACAATTTACTTTTGATTATAGTAGTATGATTCTAGAAGTAAAGTTAAACTAGTTCAGAGACATAGATACAAAATTAACAAGTAAATTATAACAGTAGGAGTATCCAGTCCTGTGTCTAAGGACCAAAATCCACCAACATTTACATAATTGCCATAATTACAATCTATTCACATAATTAAGCTCGTTCCTCATCGAGTAAGGTATTAATTACTTGCTCTGTTTCAGACCTTTGAGAACTGTAGTTCAACACTTCTGTTTTATAAATAAACAGAAAAAGACTTAAACAGCTTTTAACTCAACCCTCATAAGCTGCCTGAGTGTTACGATTTCTTTACTAACTACTGTGCAACGAAGTGACATTATTTACTATCCTGCTGATATACTGTCTTAGTGTTCCTTGAGGAAGGAAAGACATGCCTGATGGTACATTTATTTGCCTTTAGAACATATTAATTAAAAAACCTCAAACACAGTTGAAATAGATGTATAAAGTTAAACCACTTAGGAACCTGGGTTAATTACTAAATAATATTTCCTGTATTTTTTTAAAAGTAGTTATTGTCAGTCAGGATCAACAAGTTTCTATGAAATAAAAAATATATATAATGTCATGAAACTGACCATATGTAATGTTCCTCAGGTGCTGGAACATTTGGGTCCAAGTGGTCTTTTGGGACAATTATTGTTCACGTGCCATGTTGTAGGTTCAGGAGACTGGAGACGTGATGCTGAGGTAAACATGCATTCTCACTACTACACAAGGAACACAGGTTTTTGTTCTTGCAGGTTATAGTCTTGGTGACTTTTCCCCGCACTATGGTATGGTGATGTGAGGAATGAGAGAGACAGTAAGTAGTGACAGGATGTGGAAATTGGAAGGAATGTGGAGTAGTATCCAAAAACAGTTACATATAAAACAACTAATATTTTAAATGGGACCCCCACTCTGATCATGATTATTTATTGGGTGTAAATCTGAGAGCTTGGACCCAAACCTTAGCTTGATTCTAAACACTATAGTAAGGGAAAGAAAAGGTTAGTGACACCAGCAAAAGTGAGTCCTAGTCTTCTGGTGACCCTGTTTAGAGCTAATGGAAAGCAGGGGCATTGATGGGTTCCTGAAATATCTGTGTAATGACCAGTGGCGAAACTACCGCGGTCGCAGTGGTCGCTGCTGTGTCCGGGCCCGTCACTTCAGGAAGCCCGGCCGCCCTGTGGACCCATGCATGCAGTTGTAGGTTTAGCTGTAATTGTCAGTTGAAGATCTGCTTTTTGGCATGCATGTGGTCATTTTGGAATTGTATCATCACTTTCAAACACTTGGCAAGAGTTACTGAAAGAGCAAAAAAAAAGGCTGCAGACTGTGTGTGATGTCAACAGCCAAAAAGAATCTTTGATTTGCTAAGTAGCTCCAGGCTTAACACAGTTCATAAAAGAGAAAGAGGTACTTTGAATTCTCTGAAGATATGTGCCCACCATGCCCTGGGAAAAACAAAGGTAGTATAGACATCTTTTATTCAGCTTTTTTTAAGACTATTTTTTTTACAGACTTAACTCCTTCACTACCAATGCTTCAGTAAGGATACCCGTTATTAAAAATAAAGGATTAATAAACAAACAAACATATAAACATTTTACAAAACATGAATTCCATGTCTAGATAAATATTATGAGATAAAAATTTGAAAATTTCTATTATCTGTCAACTTAATGCGTAATATTACAGATGGGCTCTAAGAAATATTGATATAGAGGATCAAATAACATTTTTTTCCAAACATTGTGTAACAAACAAACAGAATTGTATTGTTGTGTGTTGAAACTCCCCAAAATGCCACTAGAATATAAGAATAATAAGTAAATTTGAACATAATGCTTACAGTAACCATAGTTGTCTGGTTAAAAACCAAGCACATTTATTACAAACTGTTTTTGCTGTATGCACAAAAGTCCTATAGTGTGCACAAAGATCTTATGCCCTCTTCTCCATTATAATCATCCGTAATGTACATTTGTACATTTGTAGGTTTCAGTATAGTGCGATAGTTGGAGGAATTACTTTTGCCCAAAGGACAATGATCATCATGCCTTCAAAACATTGAACTAATGCTTGATGCATATTAAAAGGACTATACCAAGCAGAGACGGGAAACCGAAATTCACAGTAATGTAAAAACAAAACCCATACCATATAGTGTTCATGCAAACAAAATGATAAGTTAAGAATAAATCCATTCATCTTGCTGTCCATCCGTTCATCCACTCAGCCATTCATTTTTCAAAAGAAAACCTTGCTTGGTATAAAATAAGATGCATGGAGTGTATGGAAGATTATTATGGTAAATATTAACATTATGATTAGATGAGGCATCACAAATACTGTGTTGGTGAGTTGAAATGTAGCCCTGATCTTGAAGGATAACGTTGTACCTGTCATGGTTCAAAACCTTTATGGCAGGACGCTCTTCAACCCAGGGCCAGATTAAGAGCCCAGTGGGCCTGGTGCTGACAATTATGATGGGGCCTAATTACAGAATCTTATCGACCAAAAACACAAAAACAGTCATACCTG